AACCCAGGAAGGGGAGACGGGTGCAGCCAGGGCAGAGGCCGGCTCTGTCCCCGGAAAGCTGAAGCAAACCCACGGTCCCAAAGAGCGCCATGCGATTGCAGAGTCCTGCCAGCCTGAGGCGGGAGACCCCGCGGCATTTCCATGAGGCTGCAGGTGTGCATGTATTTGATGGACCCATTTGGGGCAGATTTTGTGCCTCAGACTAGGGCGCAGAGAGGGTGGGTGGAGAAAGGAAGACAGAGGCCCCGTCACACCCCTCCCCCACCCTCCCAGCCATTTCCATGAGGCTGCAGGTGTGCATGTATTTGATGGACCCATTTGGGGCAGATTTTGTGCCTCAGACTAGGGCGCAGAGAGGGTGGGTGGAGAAATGAAGACTGAGGCGGGCACGGGGAGCGCTCTCCTTTCCTGCCCCAAGCTGACCCCTCCAGGGTGCACTCTGCCTACCAGGAGAAGGGCCGTGGCCCCCCTGAGGGCCAGCCACACTGGGGGCAGAGTAGTAATAGGGAGGGAGCCGTGTTAGTCTGATCTTGCTAAAACAAAAGGAAAAACTAGGCAGCACTTTAAAGACTCACAAGATGGTTTAATAGGCGATGAGCTTTCGTGGGCCAGACCCACTTCCTCAGATCAAAAGGGTCATCACCTAATAAACCATCTTGTGAGTCTTTAAAGGGGTAGAGTGTGGCCCCCTCGCCGAAGCTCTGACCCCCAGCCTGTGGTGCCCAGTGCTGCCGCTGGGCTGTTGTGCTGTATTGAGAGGAGACGCAATTCCTGACAGCTTCCAGAGACCTGCCCCGACCTTACGATGCCGAGGCCACTTGAGGAGAGCGTAACGGCCTCTTGAATTTGGAGGGGCCCCAAACATCCTCGTTGCCCGTTTTATATTCCACAGAGCCCCGGATGGATCCGGTTTCTCCCTTTGTCCTTGAGTGTCCTCCCCAACGGATCCGCTGCCCTCCGCCCCCATTGCTGCTTCCTCACCCTGCGTCCCAGGGCTTGTCTCCCCAGCGAGTGTCAATGGTGCTCACGGGGCTAGCTGCCCAACAGGGTTGAACTGACCGGTCATCTTCCCCGCCCCTCCAGCTCAGCCTGACTCAGGGGCATCAGCTTCCACCAACCCCGTGAACAGGGCCGGGCGCGTCTGCAGGGTGAAACCTGTTGGTGCAGAATATGGTGTCTGGCGCTGGGGGGGGAGGTGCTGAGTCGGGTGAACTGGCACCCCCTTGAATGTATCCTGTGAATTCAGAATTCAACCCCCCCATGGGCCCACTCTCCTCAGGTCTCCATAGCAATGGGCAGAGCTGTACAATGTTCCATAAAGAGCACTGGAGAATCCGCTAGGCCGTAGGTCGGAATAAAGGCCCGGCCGTGTGTGTATCTGCTTCTCTCCCTGTACTGGGCCACCTCACAGCAACGCGGGGCTAGTCAACGCGACCCAAGGGAGTTGGGCGCCCAGCTTCACTTGAGAGTCAAGCAGAGGGGAGTCGGGGGTCGGACTCCGCGGGCAGCAGAGCAGGGGTAGAGGCCCCCGTCTCTGGACGCCTCAGTTGTAGGGCATCTCTCAAACTGTACTACTCGCTTGACTCTAGCTAGAGGGGGTCTGCAGCAGGGACGCGGCGATTGAGAGGAACATCCCTACAAGTTGCACTTGCTTTGGGACCCAAGCTACCCTTGGCTTCTCCTGCCACGCTCACCCCTTCAGAGCAGACCCCAGATTGCCTATCTCCTAGGCCTCTCTTTTCACCCACCAATCACGCTCCCGTCTCGGGAAAGGGCGGCTTTCTGCCATCTCTTTGCTGACCTGATCCCAGAGTGCGATCTGCCTCGTATTCCACCTCGAGACGCCGGTCGTCAGCAGCCGCTTCACGTTCCCTAGAAAGACCACCCGGTTCACACGATGGTTCTTGCAGCTGGCTTCCTGGAAGAAGACACTGTTTGTGCTACGGGCAGTGAACAGCGATACATGTCAGAGGTCTTCCTAGGCACGCCGCTTAATGTCTGTCAGTGAAAAGACAGACATCCATCAGGGAGGATCTAGATGGCGCTTGGTCCTGCCGTGAGGGCAGGGGACTGGACCCGATGACCTCTCGAGGTCCCTTCCATTCTAGTATTCTATGACTTTATGAAAGTGCCGGCTCTAGGGTTTCAAGGAGAGCTTTACTCCAGGGAGAATTCTTCTTTATGTCAGGATCTCAGCTCCTGGCCTCGCCGCTCCCATATCTCAAAGGCAGGTCCCTTCCTCTTTGTATCAGCTCTACACTGTCTAGAGAGAAAGGGTCCATTCTTGACTTAAGAGCACCACTTCACAGCAAGCTGGGCAGGCCTGGCTTCCGACCTCCACAGTTCCTCTTCTCCTACAAAATGCAACGTTCATGCTAACCAGCTATGGACCAGACAGCACCCGGGGAAACGGGCGTCTGTGATCTCTGGAATGGAAAGGCAAAATGCTGCTTTGTAGGGAGAAAGCCTGGCCTTTCCCAGAGCGATCTAGAACAGTCCCAGCTGACAAAGGAAATTAAGCGTTTCTTCCAAAACTGGCTCTGTGGCTTCCCCGAACACCCTACTATTTCCCACACGACTTCGATTAATACAAGATGAAAAGCCCTGCATCTCTGACTAGGAGAGCGCCAAAGTCTAGGGTGGCAGCTTAATTATGCTAGCAAAAAGCAACATTCTTTTCCTGCGGAGAGCTAGATTCAGAGGCTGACATTGGCGGCACGTTGTCACTGCGCGAACAGCCGCCGTGTTTTGTGAAAATTCAGTATCTTACAAGGAGTGTTCCCCATACCTTAGGCTTAACGTGCTTCTTCCCCTTGCTCCTAACTCTGCCTCAGTTGCCCATGAGGGCAGGGCCGGACTGAGGGGTGGGCGAGCCGAGCAGCTGCCCGGGGCACCAACCGATGGGGGGCGCCTGATGGTAGCTGTAATGGGCGTGCGGCGTCCCTTATACCTGCCATCAGACACCGCATGCCCGGCTCCAGCAGCGCCGGCCCCGCCATCCCCACGGTGCTGGCCAGCAGCGTCCTTCCCCCCATGGCCGCGGGGCCCTGCACGGCCCGGCGCACGCACCAGCAGTGGTAGCCGGGCAGGGCTGGGCAGCGCATGTGTCGTGCGTCCCGGGGGCGGGCCCCAGGCTGCGCATCAGCGGCCGTGGCTGGGCCGGGCATGAGCCGTGTGTCCCGGGGAGAGCCCGCACATGTGCTGTGCACCCCGGGGGCAGGCCTGCGCATGCACCATGCGCCCAGGGGCGGCGCCACACGCCTGGGCCTGAGGCACCAAAATAGCTCGGGCCGGCTCTGCGTGAGGGGAGGAATGCACTCACATGGGAAATAAAGCCATTGTTCAAAAAGCCTCGAGTCAAATGTGTTTGTCACATGTAACGGGTTTACTTCTTAGGGGCCCGGGGCTTAGGACAGACTCTTGAGAGCTGTTCTGAAACCAGCGCGTCACCTGAAGGACTTTGCCCGAACGCGGCTCTATCAGCCGCAGCTTCTTGTCTTTGCAGGTGGTAGACAGAAGGCTGCCGTCGGTATTGAAGGACATGCAGAGAATGACGTCCGTATGGCAATCTATCATCTTCACCGGCTCTCCAATGTCGAGGTTCCAGATCAGAACCTGCGGGAAATGGGGCAGAAACGGGTTAACACCGATGCTGCTGCTGGCTCGGGGTGAGAGTCCTAGTCCCACCGGCCACGCATGCGAGGCCACGTTTCCCGAACGTTTGCTCTGCTTTTGAAAGGTCCTGCTAATTTGGGGCCAAATTCCAGCCTCCCCACTCACGGGTCATCTCATTTCACAAACAGATCGCTTTGTCTTACAGTGAATACAATGATTGGCACCCGGCCCATGAAAAGGAAGCCTCTATCTTGCACTCCCTGCGCTTGTTGCTGTCTGAAGAACATCTGTAGGACACACTGTGATCATTTTACCCACTTCTCAGTGACATATTTTGCTTTACATGGAAGATAAAGAACCTCTCTGGTCAAATCTCTTCTCCGAAATGACTGGAAATGGCACCGTGGAATGACTGGAAATGAGGTTCCGTGTTTATTAGCTCATTGAATTTCACGACAACCTTAGCTCAGCTTATAAATTAAAAAAACATCCACCCCCATGATTCTTCTAGCCGCCAGCCCTGCACACACAACCTGGCTTCTGTTGTTATAACAGATGACTGCCAGGGCTAAGCAGTTTCCAGTCCAAATGACACCCCGTCTTATCTATAAAGTGGGCAATGTTGCTATGAAGTCAGCTAGGCAATAGACGGGGAACCGTCTGAAGCTCGATTCACAATGGCTTTTCAGAATGGAAGCACACCGTTGGGCAATAGTTTTCGGTGGGGGGCCACTCCAAGATTTCGGAAAGTGGCCAAGGGCTGCACTTTTCGGGGGATGAGGTGTGGGGTCTATGATGGAGGCTGGCTGCAGAAGGGTAACGGACTGGGGTGCAGGAGACGGTGTGAGGTCTGAGAGGCAGTTTGGGTTGTGCCCTGGGTCAGGGGATTGGGGTGAAGGGTCAGGGAGGGCGTGTGGGTGCAGGAGAGGATTCTGGCCTGGAGAGGAGGTGTGGGAGGGGGTACAGGATCTGGGAGGGAGTTGTGACCTGGGGAAGGGGGTGCAGAGGATTTGGAAGGTGACTGGGGGGAGGGAGGGGCAGGGGTGCCAGAAGCAGGCTTTGGCTGGGAGGTGCTTCCCTAAACATCTCTCAGCCTGCAGCACCCCCAAGGCAGGCCAGGCTCCCTGCCAGCTGCAGCCCCAGAGCATAGAAAATGCAGCCTGCTCCCTCCACGTGGCTCTCGACTCTAGGAAGGGTGAGCGGCTTGCGTCGTGCCCATCCCCCAGGCCAATCTCTCAGCTCCCATTGGCTGGCTGTTACTGGCCAATAGAAGATGAGATATTGGCTGGGATCAGTTCCTATTGTCTGGTTGTTTCCGACCAATAGGGGCTGAGGATTGGGCTGGGGGTGGGGAGATTACCCGAAACCTCTCCCTCCCTCCAGAGTAGAGTCACACGGAGCAGCCCTGTGTTTAAAACAGCGGCCGCTATGTTCTTGAGGGTCCCGGGAGGGGCATCCGCAGGCCGGATCCAGCCCGCAAGAGATATCTTGCCCAGCTCTGCCTTAGTGTCTGAAACAGGCGTGATCTGAGATGATTCGGCAAGATAGGAGAATCGTCTCAAAAATCCATTCGAGAAAAAACCCGAAGATTTCAGTGCAAGTACAGTGCCGTGCATTTTTGTTTCCATAGCCCATTAGAAAAACAAGCAAGTCATTAGGACCAGGTAGGATACAACATGCACTGGGGGAGTGATAATCGGACACAGATCCGGCACAGAATACTATTTAGACAATAGGGAATTCCCATTAGGGTTAAGTTCTAGGCAGAGAGATGCTCTCAACCGTTGGCATCCGCAAAAGAACTCAAATGCATTTCCATGTCATGTATTGACACTTCAAAGCCGAGAGAGACTGGAAGAAAGATCTGAGGATGCACCGTGTCTATTAGAGCAACTGCCGCCAAACAAGGGAGACCATCCATGACGTTACCCTTTAAAGTCTCACATGGTCTTAATATTCATCTCCGACGACAGCGGCGGGATTTAGCAGAAACCCCCCAGAACAGTTCACCTTGTAGTCGTATCCGGCACTGAACAAGACATTGTTGGCAGTTGGGTGCCATTCCACGAGACCAACCCGGCGGCTGTGCCCATAGAGCTCTAGAACAGCTTCGGTCATGTTCCGCTTCAAGCCGCCCTCTGGAATTTCCCATATCCGCACCTGAAAGGACAGGTCGAGCAATGGTTAGTGGGAGGGAAAACCTTTGTCCGAATTTTAGAGGCGTATAAGGGTCTTGTTCTGTCCACTTGGCACATGGGGAAGGTTCACTGATTAAGAAACCGCAGATGGAATTTAATCAACTTGGTCTCCAAATGCCAGAAGGGAATTAAAAATAGATCTGAATGCGCCCAGTGGCAACACTCTTGTGCTATCCCTTCATGCCCATGTGCACGTCTGGATGGATCTTTGTTCCCTCCTTCCTTCTACTGCATCCACTCCCCAACAGTTAACTGGTCCTGCAAAGCAGCCAATACCTGATCTTCAGCGAAGACCAGATATAATATCTAGTCCTGTAAAAGATGGGCGATACCACCGAAATCCCACTGAATCCCAGGGGGCTATCAAAGAATTAGGCCATGTCTACATTAACTGGAAGATCACTGTTGCCGTGATGGATCCTCCAGAGTTTGATTTAGCGAGTCTAGTTAAGGCTTTATAAATCAAACTTAGAGAGCGCCCCCGCGGGGAAGTTGATAAGTTAAGGCTTTATAAATCAAACTTAGAGAGCACCCCCACGGGGAAGTTGATGGGAGTGTTTGCTGCCATTGGCCGCCCGCTGTGGGGATGGCGGGGAAATGGGAAACAAGGTATGTCAACTCCAGTTACATAATTAATGTAGCTGGAGCAGCATACCTTGCTTCGATGTTCCCTATTAATGTATAGCTGGCCTTACTTCCATCAAATGTTTAGAGTTGTGCCTGTACTCCTCAGCAAAAGACAAGTCACTTATTGAAAGAGGCAGGAAAGAGAAAACTCTAAAAATGTCAATAAAAAAAATTCACCATGCACTTTTCTGCATAAAACCACAGAATAGGAAAGAAAAATAAATCAGATTTGTCTCGGATGATCTTCTCAGGGAATCGGTACTACAGACTTCGAGACTGGTCCCCTTGGAAAAATACGATTTACTTGCTAAAAATAAGTGACTACACAAGCAATGCTTTAGCTTCAGTGTTGCCATAGTGCAATGCACCATCATTATTGCACACCCTTCTCTGAAAGTGAATCTAGGTAGAGACACTTGCACGATAAAGGACATCACACTCGGCATCATCAGGTACGACGGCAGCCTACTGGCTCCGATTGTTACGAGCTGTGCTTGTTTTGCCACCTGGCTTTTGTCACTCCATGTTAATTTACAGGACAGGTGTGCTTCATCCTCTACGGGCCACCCCCAACATTGGTCGGATCTAACAAGCAGTGGCGTTCTTGATCTTACACCCGCCCTCCAATTACTAACTCCCTGAAGGAATGCCTGTTTCCTTACACGATCACATCGAAATAGAAAGGCATGCACCAGCTCAGCTGCCTCTAACTTTGTAAAGAGGAACAAACGCACACACACACGAGACCCATCAGACTCCTACCACTATGGATTTCAGCAGCGCTAAAGGGGAAGCTGGGCTTACTAAACTTTTGTGCCAAAGGAAAACAACGAGGAGCATTTATTACATCACAGCGAGGTTCGTGTTTCTGTGGACAACATTTGTAGACCTAGTTTGGAAAAAAGAAGATTAAGGGGGGACATGATAGTGGTTTTCAAATATCTAAAAGGGTGTCACAAGGAGGAAGGAGAAAATTTGTTCCTCTTGGTTTCTGAGGACAGGACAAGGAGTAATGGGCTTAAAGTGCAGCAGGGGAGGTTTAGATTGGACATTAGGAAAAAATTCCTGTCAGGGTGGTCAAATATTGGAATAAATTGCCAAGGGAGGTGGTGGAATCTCCCTCTCTGGAGATATTTAAGAACAGGTTAGATAGACATCTGTCAGGGATGGTGTAGACGGAGCTTGGTCCTGCCTTGAGGGCGGGGGGCTGGACTCGATGACCTCTCGAGGTCCCTTCCAGTCCTATGATTCTATGAGATCATTTGGGTCATTCATAGGCACGTTCAGAGCCATCAATCCACCGGCTTGGAGAGCTGAAGGCCTGGACGTATTGAACTTCGTGTAGCTTTCTACAAGTGCTTGAAATCTCTGAATTTTCAGCGCCACGAGAGCAGGCCTTGCATGCGTGCTCGCATAGGTCAGGTCAGGAGGTTCAATCTACGGCTGCTAGATTCTGTGTTGTTTAGTAATCGTGGAGCTGCAACAATTTGTAGCGGTTACACAGTTACTAAAATGCTCGCCCCGGGGGCAGGGCTGGCAGCCAGTGCACTCCTGGCTCCGGCCCCACGCCCAGGGAGCCCCCTGCTACAGCAAAACGATGTCGTCCCCATTTAAACAGCCAGGTAACACCACACCCATTGTGCAATCAACTGACTTCGCTTTTGGCCTCCGCTGCCAGGGGCTAGGAAGGGCATTTGAGAAAGAGACTCGAAGGGTGTTTCAATGTCGTTTTTCTTTCTCTAGTATCCCGGTGACTGGCAGCTCTGGGATTGGATTGTGCTGATGTAAGCCACATACCTGCTGGGCGTGGGGCACTGTCCCATCTAGCAGCACCGAGGCCACTTACAGTGAGTTTCCTCGACAGCATGGGACTACTGCCGCTGGCCCCATCCCTAGAGCCAAGCCCACCCACTGCCAGCCTGGCCCTCTCTGGCGGCCACAGGAAGAGTCAAGGCTGAGGCACCGCGGCCTCGGCCTTCCCCGGCCGCCAGGGGCAGAACCGGCTTCGGCTGGGGGAGGGGAGTTAGGATTAGGCCGCGGCTGGGGGGTAAGATGGGGGTGGGAGAGAGGGGGAGGGGCGGGGA